AGTTTTTGTTTCGTTGTTGTCAGTCGTTGTCACGTCGGCTTTGTAAATCACGTTGGGTTTCAGGCAATTGCCATTTGTCGGGCATAGATGTTTCTGTCTGCAGTTACATTTCTTTGGTGGGCTGTTCTTGTTCTGGGTTGTGTCTGGGTTAAGTCTTTTTAAAATAGTCTTGTTGTGTCTGGTTATGAAAGTTTTCATGTTTTCGCCGCAGCTGTAGCTTACGCGTATTGTGTGTCGGTTAAATATCTTGGAGAGTATAGTATTTAGTGGGAAATGTTTGTCGATAAATTGTAGGAAGTCATGGCGATGTGTGTTTTTACGTTTTTGCTGTATGGTGGGTTAAACCAAGTGACGTTACGTTTTCTGTTGTGCGTGGTGTTTACATTGATGTTTGATGGATTAAAGGTGAGTTGGGTGGTGAAGTTGCTTTGTTTAAGAGCTTGGTTGTAAATTGGTGCGGCATTTTCGAAGGTGTCTTTGTCAGATGAAAGTGTGTTAATTCGGTTGTTGATGGATGTGGGTAGTTGGCGTAATACTGATGGTGGGTGGTTGGAAGATCTGTGAATGTAGAGGGGCTCGTCGTTGGGTTTTCTATATGGTTTGTAGGTGTCGTTGCTAAGGTCAAATGTTACGTCAAGGAAGTTTGTGCGTTCATGGTTTGTCATTGCTGTGATTTTTAGTCCAAGCTCGTCAAATAGATGTGAGAAGGTTTTTCTTTCTTTGTCGCAGAGTTTTCCAGATTTGGTATTTATGACTGCAAGGCCGTCGTCACGGTATATAAGCCGACGTTCTTCCCGTACCGGTGCTGTAGTTGGTCGAGTAAAAATAGCCCTACAAGCTCGCAAACTTCCGCTCCATCATAGCTGCCCATGGTTACATCAAACGTGTTGGTAGCGTTGCGTTTGGACCATGATTTGTTTTGGTGGAAAAGAAGTGATTTTCTTGCGTGTTTTATAATGGTGTGGTCTTTTTCTGTGATTGTTGTGTATTGTTTTGCCCACGCTAGGCATTTGTCTGTGATTGTTGTGTATTGTTTTGCCCACGCTAGGCATTTGTCCAGTACGAACATTAAATACCGCAACGAGACAAAACTTTCTAAATACACGTGGACACTGAAAGAAAACAAACGTAACTACAACATTAAATGGGACTTCATCAAACAACTTCCACCTCCGAACAAAAACCAAAGAACCTGCCGTCTTTGCCTTGAAGAAAGGCTACTTATCCTGAAAGGACGTAAAAAGAACATTTTAAATAAACGTTCCGATATGTTTGGTGCATGCCGTCATGTAACTTAACACCTTTTAGTCGATGTATATAGTCAGCAAATATAATATTATCTGTCAGTTGCCTGAAGATCGCCCTACGGCGTGAAACTCTGAGTAGCGACAGCAAACAATTGTCCATTTTATTTTATTTTAGTTCATTTTATATATATATATATATATATATATATTATATATATATATTACGGATAATAATTCTGGATAAAAGAGCACTCAATATTCTAAAATATGAAGAGCGTAAGATAAAATGAACTAAAATAAAAGACAGAAAAGTGCAGTCGCTAACTATTTGCTAACTATTTGCTGTCGCTAACTCCAGTAGCGACAGCAAATAATTGTCCATTTTATTTTAGTTCATTTTAGTTCATGAACTAAAATAAAATGAACAATTATTTGCTGTCGCTACTGGAGTTTCACGCCGTAGGGCGATCTTCAGGCAACTGACAGATAATATTTTATTTGCTGACTATATACATCGACTAAAAGGTGTTAAGTTACATGACGGCATGCACTAAACATATCGGAACGTTTATTTAAAATGTTCTTTTTACGTCCTTTCAGGATAAGTAGCCTTTCTTCAAGGCAAAGACGGCACCGTTTTTTGATTTTTATTCGGAGGTGGAAGTTGTTTGATGAAGTCCCATTTAATGTTGTAGTTACGTTTGTTTTCTTTCAGTGTCCACGTGTATTTAGAAAGTTCTGTCTCGTTGCGGTATTTAATGATCGTAATTGATTTAATGTGGTTTCGATATCGTGTCTTAAAAGCGCATGCAGTAACACCTATATAAGTTCTTGTTCCGTTGTTGTCAGTCGTTGTCACGTCGGCTTTGTAAATCACGTTGGGTTTCAGGCAATTGCCGTTTGTCGGGCATAGGTGTTTCTGTTTGCAGTTTTTCTTTGGTTGTTCTTGTTCTGGGTTGTTTCTGGGTTAAGTCTTTTTAAAATAGTCCTGTTGTGTCTGGTTATGAAAGTTTTCATGTTTTCGCCGCAGCTGTAGCTTACGCTACTGATGGTGGGTGGTTGGACGATCTGTGAATGTAGAGGGGCTCGTCGTTGTGTTTTCTGTATGGTTGGTAGGTGGTCAAAGGTTACGTCAAGGAAGTTTGTGCGTTCATGGTTTGTCATTGCTGTGATTTTAGTCCAAGCTCGTCAAATAGATGTGAGATTTTCTTTCTTTGTCGCAGAGTTTTCCAGATTTGGTATTTATGACTGCAAGGCCGTCGTCACGGTATATAAGCCGACGTTCTTCCCGTACCGGTGCTATAGTTGGTCGAGTAAAAATAGCCCTACAAGCTCGCAAACTTCCGCTCCATCATAGCTGCCCATGGTTACATCAAACGTGTTGGTAGCGTTGCGTTTGGACCATGATTTGTTTTGGTGGAAAGAAGTGATTTTCTTGCGTGTTTTATAATGGTGTGGTCTTTTTCTGTGATTGTTGTGTATTGTTTTGCCCACGCTAGGCATTTGTCTGTGATTGTTGTGTATTGTTTTGCCCACGCTAGGCATTTGTCCAGTACGAACATTAAATACCGCAACGAGACAAAACTTTCTAAATACGTGGACACTGAAAGAAAACAAACGTAACTACAACATTAAATGGGACTTCATCAAACAACTTCCACCTCCGAACAAAAACCAAAGAACCTGCCGTCTTTGCCTTGAAGAAAGGCTACTTATCCTGAAAGGACGTAAAAAGAACATTTTAAATAAACGTTCCGATATGTTTGGTGCATGCCGTCATGTAACTTAACACCTTTTAGTCGATGTATATAGTCAGCAAATATAATATTATCTGTCAGTTGCCTGAAGATCGCCCTACGGCGTGAAACTCTGAGTAGCGACAGCAAACAATTGTCCATTTTATTTTATTTTAGTTCATTTTATATATATATATATATATATATATATTTATATATATATTACGGATAATAATTCTGGATAAAAGAGCACTCAATATTCTAAAAATATGAAGAGCGTAAGATAAAATGAACTAAAATAAAAGACAGAAAAGTGCAGTCGCTAACTATTTGCTAACTATTTGCTGTCGCTAACTCCGAGTAGCGACAGCAAATAATTGTCCATTTTATTTTAGTTCATTTTAGTTCATGAACTAAAATAAAATGAACAATTATTTGCTGTCGCTACTCGGAGTTTCACGCCGTAGGGCGATCTTCAGGCAACTGACAGATAATATTTTATTTGCTGACTATATACATCGACTAAAAGGTGTTAAGTTACATGACGGCATGCACTAAACATATCGGAACGTTTATTTAAAATGTTCTTTTTACGTCCTTTCAGGATAAGTAGCCTTTCTTCAAGGCAAAGACGGCACCGTTTTTTGATTTTTATTCGGAGGTGGAAGTTGTTTGATGAAGTCCCATTTAATGTTGTAGTTACGTTTGTTTTCTTTCAGTGTCCACGTGTATTTAGAAAGTTCTGTCTCGTTGCGGTATTTAATGATCGTAATTGATTTAATGTGGTTTCGATATCGTGTCTTAAAAGCGCATGCAGTAACACCTATATAAGTTCTTGTTCCGTTGTTGTCAGTCGTTGTCACGTCGGCTTTGTAAATCACGTTGGGTTTCAGGCAATTGCCGTTTGTCGGGCATAGGTGTTTCTGTCTGCAGTTACATTTCTTTGGGGGGTTGTTCTTGTTCTGGGTTGTTTCTGGGTTAAGTCTTTTTAAAATAGTCCTGTTGTGTCTGGTTATGAAAGTTTTCATGTTTTCGCCGCAGCTGTAGCTTACGCTACTGATGGTGGGTGGTTGGACGATCTGTGAATGTAGAGGGGCTCGTCGTTGTGTTTTCTGTATGGTTGGTAGGTGGTCAAAGGTTACGTCAAGGAAGTTTGTGCGTTCATGGTTTGTCATTGCTGTGATTTTTAGTCCAAGCTCGTCAAATAGATGTGAGAAGGTTTTTCTTTCTTTGTCGCAGAGTTTTCCAGATTTGGTATTTATGACTGCAAGGCCGTCGTCACGGTATATAAGCCGACGTTCTTCCCGTACCGGTGCTATAGTTGGTCGAGTAAAAATAGCCCTACAAGCTCGCAAACTTCCGCTCCATCATAGCTGCCCATGGTTACATCAAACGTGTTGGTAGCGTTGCGTTTGGACCATGATTTGTTTTGGTGGAAAAGAAGTGATTTTCTTGCGTGTTTTATAATGGTGTGGTCTTTTTCTGTGATTGTTGTGTATTGTTTTGCCCACACTAGGCATTTGTCCAGTAGGTGTTCGGTGATCGAAGGGTAAAAGTCAACTATGTCAAATGATATGAAGGATTTTCTTTATATATATATATATATAGGAAGTTTATGTTTGATGATTTTCCGTATAAAACAGTGCTCGATGCCCGAAAGCAGAACGTAAATATGTGTAGTGGTGTTGAGAAAATTCACAAAACTACAGATTCATCCCAACAAGCCTGTTTCGTGATTGCTCACTCTTCAGGGGATTTAATGAATAAAGCCCGCCGCACACTAGCGTACTTGCCGCGCGTACTTGTTATTCGTGACAAGTTGGATCGACAAAAATTCCTAGTGTGCGCGGAAGTCTTGAACAACATTTGTCATTCGTGACAGATATTCCAAATATCAAACATGTTTGATATTTTTTGTCACGAGTAACAAAAATCCCAAGTGTGCGGCCGACGAAAAGCAAGTCCTCCTACAATGATGACACTACGCATGCGCATATTAAATTAATGAAAACACAATATGGCGGATAGCATTGACACGTTAAATCAGAACGAATGTAGTGAAATTGTTACGGAAGCTATCTTAGAAAACCAGTTGGTTAATATCTGGCCTGATTATCGGTGTTGATACGATGTGCGATCGTCCGACTTCAAGAACCGTGGTGCACGCGAGAAAGCTTATCAAAATATTGCAGAAAAGTTAGGACAAACTGGTAAGTTATGAATCTTTGCCATGTGCTGTATTCCCCCTTATATTATATCATCTGTATATTGTAGTTGAATGGGTAAAAGCTAAACTGAAGTCCCTCAGGAACAGTTATACAAGGGCTAAAAAGATTGCTCCAAGTGGAAGTGCACGGAAAAATCCGACAAAGAGAGGAACCTGGTTGTTGGAAAAGCTGCAGTTTCTGGCACCTTACATTGCAACAAGAGTCCCTATATCCAATATGGATTCTGTAAGTAGCATCCGTGCAAACATTAAATTAGACACATCAAATTGTTTGGTTACATGTTGCCAAATTTTCTCATTGATATTATATGGCATATATTTTTGTGCTAGAAAATCTGTAAAAAGGAAAGTAGAAAAATTTATGGATCATCAAAATGTAAATCAGATACATGAATTTATGTATTAGTGCATATTGTTCCTGTTTATGTCCATTTAGATGTTGATGAGAAACAGGGAGAGGTGAAAAGTTTTATTTTAATATCATGAAATATTTCGTACAAGACTATTGCTCCCTTTTCAATTTTCATGAGGCAAGATAGCAGTTAATTGTTTTAAAATATAATTTAGTCTTAGTTATCTTCTAAATTGAAATGCATTGTTTAGCAGTTCAGTTAATCAGTAAGGTAATTTAACAATAACCAATATTAACCTGGGATGCATTAAAAAGTCTGCATCTAAACTGTTAATTTGATCATAAGATCCTTCCATGGGACTGAGCCATTGCCATTAAAGAATGTGGTCAGATACTCACGCTGTGTTTTAGCATTTCTTGATGGGTTCCTATCTGAATTAAATTTGTTTAAACTAGCTAAGCATGGATCACCTCTCCATGGCTCATTTGAAATGCTATGGTCTCTGTTTTCAACATCTGCAGCTGCTGTGTATGTTGATTTTTGTTTTTCCACTAAGTAGTTGTGCAAACAGCAGGCTGCTAAAATCAACTGTGTAACCTTCTTCGGACTTAATCGTAATGTTGTAAGAAACACACGCCACCTATGAGAAAAAATTCCAAAAGCATTTTCCACCACTCGCCTTCCTCTCGAAAGACGGTAGTTAAAAACTCGTTTCTCTCTGTCTAAATGTCTATGAGGATAGGGCTTCATTAATGCTTTGCTCGTGGAAAAAGCGTCATCTGCAACAATATGATAATGTACTTTACATACTGAATTTGGTTGAAGAGGAGCAGGTAGTGGCAGATCTAGAGTGTTCTGATCCAATGCTTTTTTCAGAGTTGATTCGTTGTACACACCACTATCTCCTGCCCGCCCTGAGGATCCAACACTCACGTATAAAACTTATAGTTAGCATCAACAAGAGCCACTAGCAATACACTAAAGAAATGTTTGTAGTTAAAAAATTCTGAACCACTTGAAACAGGCTGTTGTATGGCAATATGCTTCCCATCAAGCGCCCCAATACAAAACGGATAGTTCCACTTCCTTTCAAAATCTTTCGATATTTCTAACCATTCATTAGCAGAAGTTGGAGTCTAAAAATAGCATTTAAATTATATTTTTCATAAAACATTTTAGGAGCACTGTGACTCTCCATCAGATACTAGCATAATTGATCAACCTGATGAAGAAAGTGTTGCTGATGATAACATGTCTTATCAAGCTAATATAGAAACACCAAGTCCAACTACTTTGGAGGGAGATGAGATTGACATTCCCTTAACAAGATCAACTAAAGAGCCATTTCAGTTAAAAAATAGTAGAAAGAAGCAAGCAGAAGAAGAATACCATCTCATCAAAGGACTGGCTAAGTCAATGTCAGAAAAACAAAATAAGAAACTAAAAACTGACAATAAACGAAAGAACCAAACGGATACTTTTGGTCGATATGTATCCTACACATTAGCAGAACTAGAACCCAAAGTACGTTTTGTGGCTCAACATCACATCAATAACATTTTGTTCCAAGCACAAAGTGGAGAGCTTTTGACTAGGCAGACTTTTGGAATGATAACACCTACTTCTTCACAAAATCAAACTTTTTGGCCATTAAACCACCAAACAAATAGATCCAAAGTTGATGATACAGTTTCAAGATTTCAATCTCAACTGAATAATCAACATTACAGTCTCCCATTCCAAAGACAGCACACTGGATTCAATCCAACTCTACAAGTTGCAGACAACACTAGGCAGTTTCAGTTTTCTTCTCCTTCTATTCAGTCTCCATCCAATGTACATGAACATTGAACAACACAACACTTGACAACCATTTGTAAACATATTTGTATCATGAAATTTTGTATTATCTAAACATAACTTGTCTAAAGTTTATTTTAAAGTGACATGTTCAATATATTGCCTATTAAAACTTTTATTACCTTCAAATATTGTTGTTTTAGAGACATATACAGAGATTGGCATGTTTCTTCCACAATTTCAGAAATTGTTCGTTCACCGATACGAAACTGGAATGACAAACTCCTGAATGTTTCTCCTAAGTTAAAATAACATAAATAATAAGTTGCTCATGTACAGGAATAAATTGAACAAAAAGATAATATATTTCCTCAGTTCGAACCTGTGGCGAGGAAACGCAAAGTTACGGATAGACGCTCGCAAGGTTTCACTGCTGGTCTCAAGTGTGTATCCATCTTATTAATGTAAGGCAGAACCAATTGTAAGATATTTTCAAAGCAATCCCGATCAAGTCGATGGAATTGTCGAAATTTCTCTGGATCCTCTGCATTTAATTCTCGAACGAGATTGTTAAATACTCCTTGCGATTGTCTTCTTTGGATCCATCGCTTTGTCCACAACTTACGATGTACAGCTCTCAAACGTCTCCGTCGCTTTCTCAACAACAAAATCAATAGCAAAACTTTTTCGTCTTCTGAGGAACTATCATTATTGCTATCTGTGTTGGTGTCACTGATATTAGTGTCACTGCTTTTAGTGTCACTGCCATCACTGCTATCCGCCATATTGTGTTTACATTAATTTAATGTGCGCATGCGTAGTGTCATCGTTGTAGGGGGACTTGCTTTTCGTTGGCCGCACACTTGGGATTTTTGTTACTCGTGACAAAAAATATCAAACATGTTTGATATTTGGAATATCTGTCACGAATGACAAATGTTGTTCGAAACTTCCGCGCACACTAGGAATTTTTGTCGATCCAACTTGTCACGAATAACAAGTACGCGCGGCAAGTACGCTAGTGTGCGGCGGGCTTTAAGAAGAAAAACACAAGGTGTCTGTTATAATTTATTGAGAGAGCTAGCAGTAGAAGATCCTAAACAGTTCCGGCAGTATCATAGATTGGACAGGCAATCATTTGAAGATATTTTAAAGATTGTTTTTCCATACATTGTGAAACAAGACACGCAAATGAAGACAGTGTTAAAACCTCGCTAACGACTTGCAGTAACCCTGCGATTTCTTGCAACAGGTACGTAGAATTACGTATAGTTATTGAACACTTGTCAGAGAAAGCAGTTCTCTTACTGTTTTTATTATTTTCCCATTTTAGGTGAAACATTTCGTAGTCTTTCATTCCAGTTTAGAATTGGGGAGCGTACAATTTCGAATATTGTTGAGGAAACATGCCATGCTTTGTATAACTCGTTAAAGGAAACATGTTTGGAAGCAAGTTATTAAACATTTATAACAAATATCGCTAGTATTATTAACAATAGCTGTTTACATACATTAAGAGCTCATGTTATCATAGGCAGATGAGTCTTGACCTGAATTAAGCTCTCTAGAGATTGGTGAAAACCACATATTAAGAACAGGACGGCTCAATCCAACATCTGTTGGGGAAGATGTGTTATATCGTTGACTATTTGTCATACAATTGCTGATGGGGTGCATGTTGTTTTGTGCATAAAGTGGTTGAAACATATGTTGGTGCATAGCTACTGGCGCTCTTGTGCTATGATGTGTAAGTTCCCCTGATAGAGCCTGGAACAGTATTTCATTAATTTTGTATTGTGCCAAGTGCCTTACAGAGGGGGGGAAGTTCAGACAACGACTGCGTTATATAATGACCAAATGCTTCATCCGGGTTATTACATATCTTTCGAGACATTTCTCTGCTTCTTTTTCTTGAGATGTTTTTGCCAAACAAATCATGTGATTGTATTTTTCATCTGCCTGCCTTTTTCTATTTGGCTTTATACGTGTTGGCTGTTTGGTACTAGAAATGGGACAGTCGACCTCATTCTCAAGATTGCTGCTTGGTGTTGCTGGATCATTGAAACTGTCGTCGTCATCATCATTGTTTTGATCATCAACTTCATCAGCAATTGTTATGCATGATGGTGAATTGGAATCGTCCTAGAAGCATTTAATAAATGAACATCCATTAGTTTAACATAAGCAAATTTATGATGTAATTGCTTTTATTTTCTTCAATTACAGACTCCATCTTGTGCAGAGAATGGAAGGCTTTTGCAGACCAATTTTAAAAAAAAGGGAACTATTCTGGCTGCATCGGAGCTCTAGATGGAAAACACATGGCCATACAACAACCAAATAGTAGTGGATCAGAATTTTTCAACTACAAGCACTTTTTCAGTGTTTTGCTTTTAGCTCTATTAGATGCAAATTACAAGTTTGTCTATGTCAATGTTGGAGCAGCAGGCCATGCAGGAGATGCTGGCGTGTATAATGAGTCTAGCTTGCGAAAAGCTGCTGTTGAAAATACTCTTGGTCTACCATTACCAATTGAAATTCCAGGAGTTTCATCAAAAATACATTACCACATTGTGGGTGATGATTTTGCTTTTCCATTGAGCAAAACAATGATGAAGCCATTCCTTCACAGGAATTTAAATAAAGAGAAAAGAGTCTTTAACTACAGATTATCTCGTGCCAGACGGGTAGTAGAAAAAGCTTTTGGGATTCTTGCCAGCAGATGGCGTGTGTTCCTAACTACAATAAGATTGTGTCCTGACAAGGTTACCTATCTAATTCTAGTTGCTTGTTGCTTGCATAACTATATGATGGAAAAGAATAAATTAGGTTATACAGCACCAGCAGATGTAGAGGATGACAATCATCTTGTCACACCTGGCTGATGGAGAAGAGATGCATGCATGACAAATTTGAATCCATTCAACACAGACAGAAATCCTTCTAATAGTGCCAAAATGCAACGTGAAATTCTGACGACATATTTTAACACTTGCGGAGCTGTATCATGGCAGGATAACATAATCTAGCAGTAGCACTTACTCTTAATTATCACTTACTCTTAATTATATATATATATATTTATATAAGTTTGAAAATTTGTAATCCAGGCATTGAATATATAAAAGATAAAACGTTTCTCCTGATTTTTTAAATGATTTTTATTGAGCTTTCGACTCGTTGCTTCGAGCCTTCATCAGAATGAGGATATTTATTTACACGTGCTTTTTGGCTTGGAGACGTTTAGAGCGTCTAATTGGATTAGTGGGTGGATTAATGTGATTGGATGGGGTGAAATGCGTTGCCATGGGTTTTGGTGTGTTGTTAATATGGTTGGTGTTAATAATATTAGAGTGTAGTGTTTTAGTTTTGGTGTTGTTTGTAGTTTTTTTGTCATTTTTCTTCAGTTGTGAGTATATGATGGGTATGTCGATATGTCTGTTTATTGTGTCGTTGTCTTCACTGTACCAAGCTTCTTTAAATTCGCATGCGTGTTTAGTCTATGCGCGTCCGAGTACTTTAGTTTCTGTCCAGTCGAATGTGTGGTTGTTTCCGTGGGGATGTTCTGCAGGTAGTGAGTTCGGATCTCGTCGTTTTATGGCGTTTTTGTGTTCTGTGAGTCTTATTTCAATTTTCTTAGATGTTTGTCCTATGTATTGTTTTGAACAGTCTTTACATGGTATCATGTAGATCGCGTCAGTTGTATCATGAATTGTTGTTTTGTCTTTATGTTTGATGAAACACATTTGAGTTTTTGTGTGGGTTTGTAGGCGACGTTAATATTAAATGGTCGAAGAAGTCTGGCAGTCATTTCTGATGTTCCGTTTATGTATGGTAATGTGACGATTTTTACTGTTTCGTCCGGTTTTTTGTTGCTTTTGTCGGTTTGTGTTTTGTTTTGTATTTTGTATATAGTTTTGTTTATGAAGTTTCTAGGGTAGTTGTTTTTAATAAATGTGGAGTATAAGTAGTTGCGTTCTGTTTTCTTGGCTTCTTCCGTATTACAATGAGTGTTTATCCTGTTGAAAAGTGTTCGAATGCAGCTTATTTTGTGTTGTGTTGGATGATTGCTGTTGAAATCGAGTATTTGGTCTGTGTGGGTGGTTTTGCGGTATACTTGTGTGTTTAGTGTGCCATCATCTGTTCTGGTTAGTAGGATGTCGAGGAAGGTAAGTTGTTTGTCGTGTTCTTCGTCTTTAGTAAAGGTAATGTTCTTTGTGGTATTGTTTATGGTGTGTAGGATTTGTTCAGTTTTGTCTTTCTTGACTATGGCAAAGATGTCGTCGACATATCTTTTCCATAGTCTGATGTTTGTGTTGTTTGTGACTGATTGTGTTTCCAGGTGTTGCATGACAGCTTCTGCGAGGAAGGTGGATAGTGGTGACCCCATTGGTGTGCCTGAAATTTGTCTGTAGTATGTGTTTTGGAAGGTGAATTCAGTGGAGGCAAAGTTTGAGTAAGTCTAGGATGTCATTTTTGTCTAGTTGTGTTGTAGCCTGCCAAGTTTTGTCGTTTGTGAGTAGTTCGTTTGTAATTTGTTTGGCAATGTCTAGTGGTATGGATGTGAAGAGTGATGTCACGTCGTAGGATATCATGATTTCGTCTGGTCGTAGTTTAATGTTTTCAATACTGGCGAGGAAAGTTGTGGCATTTTTGATGGTGTGAGGTGAATTTTTGACTAATGGATACAGAATGTTATAAAGATATTTTGAAAGTTCATACGTAGGTGATCCTGGAAGCGATACGATAGGTCGAAGTGGGTTGTTTTCTTTATGGATTTTTGGTAGTCCGTAGAATTTGGTGGTGGATGCGTCATTGGGTCGGATTCTTCTGTAGTCGTTTTCGTTTAGTTTCTTTTTCTCTTTTAAATGTTTCAGTTTCTGGTTGATGCGGTTGGTGGTCGTTTTGCTGGGGTCTGTGTGGAGAGGTTCGTAGGTGGTGGTGTCTTGTAGGAGGGTTTTGGCTTTGTCGATGTATTCTGATCTGTCCATGATAACTGTTTTGCGTCCTTTGTCAGCTCGTAATATGATTACTTGGTCGTCGTTTTGTAG